TGTATTTTCAGAGAGTGATAAAACAGCTTACTGATTGGTAGGTTTCCTTGCTACACTTTGTGACAAGGTGAAGATAAAGGAGTTCTGCCTGTATCATATCCTTAAGAAGATGTTTGTAAAGTGGTCAAGAATTATCATTCTGGGAGAAGAGAGGCGAGAAGACAGGATGGTATTGAGAACAAGAATGGAAAATCGCTGTACTTTGTCTGAAAGACATTGGATCATCTAACAGCCATAATTTGCGAACAAAACCAAACATAAATAACAAAAGCTCAACATACCTTTAGCATATAATGTGAACAATACAGTAATTTTAATAATATATACTGTTGACATTAAAAAGTTTTATAATTTATTAAAGAATGGTCATTAAACTATAAGAATATCAAAGAAGACTTCAAATTGAAGAAGAAAAGTCAATAAAAAGATTGCATTTCAGCTTGAATGTGAAGACTTGAACAGGTTTTTAACAGGCAAGGAGGTGAAAGAAATTTCAAGAGTGATCATTTACTTTGACAATAGATATTTTTGAGATTCTCTTCTAACACTGACCTAGAACTAAAAATTCAGTGGTGAACAATACACAGTTCATGACATCATAGTGTTGATGTTCAAACTTGGAAGAAGGATATTGAGTCAATAATTAAATCTGCCGATGTTTTCAGAGAGAAAAACACAGCATACAGTGGTAGCACACAAGTGATTACCTACAGAAGATCTTCTTGCCATATTAAAGCACATGACATAGTGTTAAAGACTATTTTTAGCAGTACCTATTCTGGAGGGTCAAAAAATGCTCTCCTAAGGAAGATATATATGTATTAGGAAAAGAGAATAAGTGGGCAAGCACAAGAGAGAAGAGAGTCTGAGAGAATTACAGCCATAACATCTCATCGGAACACCCTGTGGCAGGAGAGAGTGTGACATCTTTGAGGAACCTAAAGATATATATGGAAAGAATGAAATGAAATAAGGAAGGCAGAGTATGGTAATACATAAGGCCACTGAGGTAGGCAGAAATCAGGTGTTTCAGGTCCTTATTAGCTGAGCAAAATGTGTTTCATTGTTCACTATGTGCCCATGAGATGCCACTGATGGTTTTGGCAGAAGCATAACAAGTTCGTCTTGAAGAACATGGTACATAGCAGGCTACACTGACAGATGAGAATGACTCCCAATCAAAATATGAACCACAACACGAAAGTTCCAAGGAACATATGAGCTTTTCTCACATTCTATTAATTGATTTTGTGGAACTCTTTATCTTCAACACTGCACCTTAGACACTGTCAACTTCTGTGTTAATTTGTCCCTTAAAATTTTTATCAAAAATCAAAGATGTGTACTGATGACCTCATCAAAACAAAGGTGAAATAATACTACATACTCAGTTTATGTTTTGCTGAGTTTGCTATTCATCTATGTTTGAGAGCAATGAAAAGAACCTAGATAGTTATATTCTTATTGTTTTATTTTCCAAAATTTCTCCCATTTTAACTGTTTTAAAACTTTTTAATAAAGAGTATCAACAGACTCATGAACCCATCCAGAGGCTATTCTCTGGGTCATGACTACATTTTAAATAACATCAAGGAGTGTTAACTAATGGCCATTTTGAGTCAGGAACATATTATCGTCTCTTTATGGGTTTTCATAAGTTAAGTTCCCCACTCAATTGGGCCACAGCAATTACAGAAACTATTATTTAATGATGTTATGACATACCAGAAGAGTATGATTTGATGAAAAGGAACATATTGGTGTTTAAATTAAGCACTATGCAAAGACTGTAAAGTAAAAGGAATTTAAGCAATTTTTTTTCTTTAATTTACCATGGCAATTCCAGGCCCCTGAATGGTTTCATGAACTTCATCCTAAAGGAAAATATCCTGGAATATAACTCATTCTTTGGGATATTTCTTGCCTTTCTAGATGTGCATCAAGGCCCCAAAGTTAAAGCATTTTCTGCCAAGAAATATAAACCCCTCAATACCCAGTATTCCAAGAGCATGCTACACTGCCTTCATTACAGTGATTACAATTGTTTCATGGATATGACTCTTTGAAATACATGAATTATCTCATGATTTCTCACATTTAACAACAGAGACAATGAGGAAAAAGTGAGAATATGACTTGCCCAAAGTTAGAAGGAGGAAGTGGGCAATTCCTGAAATGTCCTTGCTGATTCCCTGAAGGTAGGTTTGTGGAAATTTTCAATGCTGTCAAAAGTAAAGGCCAAAAGACTCCTTTGGGACAGCTTGAATACAACCTATATAGGAAGAGAAGTAGATATAGACTCTAGGCAAGAAAATACAACTGGGGCTCAGATGACAATTCTCTAAACAAGGTTTGGCAATCATTCCATCTCCACATGCAGAGTAGTTGTACAGAGTGTTGGTTTATGTGAAAAATAATGATAAATAAAAGTAATAATAAAACTTATGGAACAAGATAACATACATTTTAAACCTTAGTTTCATATGGCAACTTTATAAATAGTAGATTTTGGATCATTTGTCATGAGGCAGACACTTTCAAAATATTTTTTAATGACTTATTAAAAATCAATCCAACATATTCTGAATGAATAGAAGATATGAAAGTAGCCACTGTGTTTGAAATATAGGGATCTTATATTGACTACAGACAAAAATTAAAAAGAAATACAATATGATCCTGGAGGGTTTTTAATTTTTTTTATTATTACTTTTTCATAGATAAAAATTTGTGACAAAATTAAGAATGTTATGAAAACTAACACTTAACCAATAATGGGCTCTAAAATGCATTATACCCAATATGAGACAGGAAGTCATCGTGGTCATAAAATTTCACTAATTTAAATTTTCTTAATGAGCAGATCCACCTTACAATGTTTCATCCCTTCATTTGGAATGTTTAGAGAATTCTTCTACAGTTATTGGAAATGGGTACCTATAAAGTCATATCTTTAATGAATTGATTATTAAACTTATCAAAAAAGGAGAAATGATATTCTGTGTAATTAGATGAAATCTGAAAGCTGAATATAGACAATCACTATTAACTGCTTTCTTCTTTGAAATGTCTGCTTTCTTCCTTGAATGGTGATCTTTGAAATAATCTCCCTGTAAAAAGTTTCACAGTGATATGAAGAGTCCTGTGTGTATGAGTCATCTTTATTTCATTTTCCCACACTGAAATGTAAGAACAAGAATCAGATTTCATATTCCTCAGTCTGAGCAATTATGATTCCAAGGTGGACTCAAGAGATGCTGGTGAAGGTGATTCTGTTTAGTGATTTATGCAAAGTTAATGTACCACGTCACTTATGGGTTAAATGTCACTTCCCATAAATTCTAAGAGCATTGGGCTTTCTGGGACTTTGTTGCCTCTGCCACTGCTCAAAATAAGCAGTGTAGGTAGGGTCTCAGAAGCTTTCAGTTCTGTGCCTTTGTATTTGCTACCTCGGCTTGTCATAAATACATCCAACCTGTATTTCCATCTGCAGTGTTGTTGATTTCCTCTAGAAAACACTGAGGCACATTCAGTTCATAGGCACAGATGACTGAGTTAAGCACTCCCTCCAAACATAATGCTGTGTATGATTGAATGTAAATGACCAATTCTGATCATCACTCACACAGTGGAATGGAAATAAGAGTTGCCGAGCAATCCTGAATTTTCTGGTTCATAAACAGATAGAAAATAACAAACCTACTATATTGAGTTTTATGTGCAGTTTGGCCACAAAACAAACTTTTATTTCTTTGGGACATTTAATGAGAAGCATCCCTCTCATTGTACTTCCATTTTAGATTTAAACTTCCCTATCTCAGATAATCAATTGCTCATAATAAATTGAAAAATCCTTAAATTTTTTTAAATGGTTTCTGGCATCTAATTACACAGGATTTTTGACCTGGCTAGACAGATAATGTTAACACAGCTTCAATACTAAACAAGCCTGAACATGTGTGCTCTTGACTTTTATTAAACTCCTACTGAAGAAACAGATTAATTGGAGGCTGATTCACTGGTGAACAGGCGTTAAAGACAGAAGGACCTTCTCACATTTTGTTCTGTTATCCAGGCTTATGCCATCTCAGGTTGGCAAGGAGATCCCAACTGTAGTGTTTTGAAATATAACTGAAAGAAATTGTAGAATAACAGGTGCAAAAAAAATGCAAGCCACTTATAAAATGTTGATCTGATTCCTTCCTTTTTCTCTTGCCAAATGGACACCTGATACTTTATGGACTCAGGTACTGCCCAGATAGCATTTCCAATAATAATAATACTGTGTGGAGGCAACTATGGAAGCTTGCAGCTGTCATAATTATTCCTTATACCATTATTACTTTTTTCTTCCTTTGGACAAATATTTAACAAGAAGATGGGTCCAAGCTGTATTAACCGTTTCATATAGTCTCAAAGTACATTAAGATGAAAGGATATGTTTCCTTGGCAGCTGTGCTTCTATCTATAAAAGCTGGAATTTTACCCCCTGATTTCCCTGTGCTGTTTAATGGTTTTTAACCTGTAAGATAGGCAAGGCAAAATAATAGCAGTAACAATAATGGAACTAAAACTGAGTCCCTAGTGAGGTGGAGAACAACACTACAGTGTATTTGTGGAGAACATTGTGGTTTATGGGGTTTTCCCAGGTATTACCTCATTCCTAATACCTCTGTAAAATAGGGGTCACCAGATTTTTACAACTGAGAAAATTTCCTCTTAACAGGGTTAAGAGACTTCCTAGAGTGGCACACAGAACACGTGAAGCAACCTTCATACCAGCACAGAACATTTGACTGCAGCTCAGCCCAAGGCTTGAGGAAAGTACTTCCTGGACAGCGCCTCAGTCCTTCTCTGTCTAAATTTTTTCCACTCTCAAATAAGGACACTAGTGGAAAGGTGTTCTTTAAGTCTTCCTTCCATCTTCAAAATGTGATTGTGACCTTTAATTATAAATCACTGGAAGTATAGATATAAGCAACAGATTAGAAAACAAATACCTGTTGCAGAATGACTCTAGGCAAGGGTGAGCTGTTCAGACTCTCAGTGTCGCTTTGATTCACACTCACATGCAGATTACATCCCTTGGTGCTTCTGTGAGCTGGTTTCCTCTTGACAGAGCTCCATGAGTATCGTCATTTTCTTCTGTGTAAATATTTCTGTGTAAGCTATGAATATAAATATTGAGATGAGTGCCTTAGTATAAGAATTTCCCTGTTACATTATTTTAAGCCCCAACTGTTAGAAATCAAATATTACTATAAGAATTTGGTCTGGTTACACAACTCCTCACATTTCAAGTTGTTCAGGCTCAGTGTAAGGAAAGAATACAGTACATTGGTTGGAAGAGAAGAGTGGGAGGCTTACATCAAATTATTTTATTTGTAAATAGATCAAATTTTATTACTTTGAAAAGGCCAAAAATATTGGTTAATTATTTGTTGGTTTGCTTATCTAGACCCTGAATCTTTCCACAAAGTGGAAAATTAGCCAAAATCATTACTTTCATATTGTAATTAAGTGCCTTTGTGAGATCACCTGATAGATTATTAACTACAATATCAAAACATTCAAGTGCTATGGACATTATCATACCAATTCACTTCAAATTAAAATGTATATGCATCCAGTTGAAATGAACCCACAATAGCTAAGAGAATAAGTAAATACTAGGCGAGGCCTTTATTTTCAGGAAATACTGTCAAAAATATTATGGTTGACTAATTTTTCCTATCTTTCTTTAATGTATGGAGTTGTTGTTTAACTCTTCTTTTTCAAATTCTATGCTGGATAACAAAAAGTTAATATGAAATTCAATAGAGTGAATCAAAGCATATTGTCTCATCTCAGTTACTAGTAGAGGAGTCCTGTAGGCTCTTTTGTGTTTGCTATGCAATAGCTGATTGGAGACTTTCTGAATTTTGACTACATTTCAATGGAGAATGAAAGTCCAAGAACTAAATGAACTTTTTCATATCAACATTCCAAGCCTGGTAAAACTGTTCTGCTTGCTAAAATGATGTTATAAATATCGAGATTAGTTTCTTCTAAAATTACCAGTGCCAGGTGCATTCCATTTCTCATGTCATATAATATTCTGTTACCAGTGTTCACAGTTTAAAAGAAGGTTTAAAGAATGTGCAGGCAAAAAAAAAAGAGTAAAGATATTTAAATGTGACAACTGTATTTACATAACCTACATGGTAGACACTGAAGAGTAGGATTGATTTCTTTTTTCTTTTTCAGTCTCATCTTTGTTTTGTTTAGGTAGCAGAGGGTAGATAAAATAGAGATGTATAGTTATGAATGAGCTATTGTCTTCATCATAAATAGATAGAAAAGTATAAATAGATAAATCAGTTTCAAAACTAATGCTATTGTTTTTTGTTAGTGTACTTCCCATGCATAAAATCTCAGCACTCAAGATGTCCCCATAAAATCTTTCACTAAACCTTTGTTTTAAAGTATTTGAAAGGACATCATTCCATGTGGGAATATTACATACAGCCACTGATTCAACAGTAACTGAGAACTTATGTACAAAACATTCTTTACATATTGACAAATATTTCTAAAAAATGAATTGGTATTTTTTGTTGTTGAGTGTTTCATGAGTGACCTTTACCTCTGTAGACATATGCAGTTTTCAGTTTTTTGGGTGAGACTTTCAAAATATTTTTTTAGAGTGTTCAATGTTAGCAGTGACATTTTTACAGTGATTTCAGAGCCTTGTAGTTTAGAATATTCTATTTTCTTTATTTCTAATTACTTATACCACCCTCATTTTAAATCCTGTGCAGATGTAATTGACAGTGATGATATACAATATGTATGAAATGAGCTTTTCCCTATTGGTGGTGTGTGTCATGCAAGACTCCATTGCAATATTTACAGTTAAACTAAACTTTTTAGAACGAGCAAAATTGCATTTGTTTTGCAGATTTGCTCATCATTAAATGTGAAACATTTCACATTTGTCTTTTTGAGTAATTGGCTTTTTAAAATGATAAGGTGCTCTGAACACTTGTTATGTGGATAGGTCTGACGTTGTATCCCAGAAATCCATATGCCATACAGACAGAACAGAAGAAAGATATTCACAAGCATGTCACAGATTGGACTAAAGCAAGCCAAAAACCCAAGTGCCATGGCATTAACAATAGCACCAGATTTACTGTCACGATCACAATCTGTGCTGCATCACAGACAGAAGGAGAACTTTTGATAGGTAACACCTCAGTGTTTTTTTAATCTTTTTGGCAAATTATCATTTATCATTATATTTTTGCCTGCCATATAATATTATTACAATGATATAAAAAATACAAGATAAGTTTATTAGGCCTCAAAAAAAGGATTGACTTATTAGTCAGGGCATGTAGGATGAGAGAGGGAGACAGAAAGACAGTGAGAGAGAGACAAATATTCTGTTGTTTTATTACAGATCAAACTGAAGCTGGAAAAATAGAAAACAGCTAAGGTACTCATGAGGATTTTAGCTTCTTTTGAGTTCACAAAAGGAAATGGCTTATTAGTGACAGAGAAAACAAAAGAATCACCCTTCTTCAGGACTTGAAAACTCTGTTGTTTCAAAAATATGTGGTTCCCTGGGATAAAAACTCACAGCTAATTTTATTTTCCAAATTGGAAGGGGGTGGGTGAGAATATTTTGAGATGAGAAATTGCCCAAGCCTTTCTGGTCTGTATGCACTTCCCCAGGATGCAGAGATGAAGAGACCATGATTCACAGGATGCCCCAATAGGTACTAAAACAAAATTTACAAAATCACAGCTTGATGCAAAGTCTCATGTTGGGCTGATTGAAGGAAAAACTAGAAACACTGCACAGAGTTTCCTGGCATCAAAAAGAGAAACATCAGCCGATTGTTTTTGTTAATTGAAGGCCACTTTGGGACCTCAGTGAAAATATTCTTCTCACCTGTTTTTTAATTGTCTACCTGGCTGAGAGACTTTTGGAGGACAGCCTTCCTGAGGACTTAGTTTCTTGTAGAACAAATTATCCTAAAGTTATACAGTTTTGTTAACCTAATCACAAATATTAAAGCTGGTTTCTCCAAGATTTAAATGGAGATTCAAGAAAAAAAAACATTAAAAATAATAATTAACAAGATGCAAAGCTATTCAAAGCTAGATGGAAACAAAGGAATGCTAATCCATCAATTAACTTTAACCTGGTTGACTGAAAAAATTTTTATATTTGGAGTAAATCTAACATCTTCTTAAAGAAAGTAAATACTGTGATTTTTATCCTCAAACCATTTTTTCCCACCAAAATTATATTTTTTTTAATTTTTGAGCCTTGAAAATAATAGGACTGATGATTTCTACGCTGTGCCATTCTAGATACCTAGGCCTGCTATTTTCTTCCCAGCCTTCCACTTGCCAAAGCCAGTCCTCCCTAAAGCCCTGAGTATGATTTCCTGTGGACCTCTTTCAGTGCACATGCTTCACTTTCATGGGACTTAATATATTTCTTCTAATTTTCAAACTATCAACTCAATTTTCAGTTACTAATCACTAACGCATAGATAGACTCAAGTATTGTGGGAATTAGAAGGGAATAATAATTGTTACACTCAAAAATATATCTGTTGTTACTAAGGAGCAAACAAGAAACAAATATAAAACCACCTAAGAAAAAATATAACAATTCCCTAAACTTCTTTGAAAAAAATTGCATAATGCATGATTATGGGGAAGTTATGCTCATACAAAGATAAATTTTATTATAAATGAGATACTAAAACCATAAAAGGAAACCTAGAGTTTCAGGAAACATCAGGGGAAGTGTGTGTATGTTTGTGTGCGCATGTGCACGAGTGCGCATGTGCACGAGTGCACATGTGTGCACATAGAGTGCATGTGTGTCTAACTTTAAAAGCAAATTATCTCAAATTTCATAAAATAACCATTCCAGAAAATCACTCACTATTACTGTTGAGTTTCTACTCTGAGCACATAAAGCCAACATAAATGGAACTTAAATGTTTCACCAGTAACAACTATTCAGACAAAACTCACTTGGGAGCTGTAGAATAAGGATCACATAAATAGTACTGGTATCTGAAGGTTTAAAAAAAAAGTGGGAGCTATTTTTAAAAAGTAAGAGCACATTGAAATTTCTCCAATTTCAATTCAAAAGCCTTGTCATCTTAACCTTTTATGATTTGGAGTTGTATTATGGAGAAACATGATGCAGCTATTACATTAAAACTATGAAATGATCAAGGAATTGAGAGAGAGGGAGCCCAGAGTTAACACAGGGGCACACCTTGGTGTGAGTAAATAGAAGGTGGAATATACTGGTTATTCTGAACTTTTGAGGGCAAACGAATCATAAATGATGATGTACTAGGGACAAACAAGACGTAGAAAACAAAACAGAACAGTAGAAAAAGACCTGATAAAAAAGATGAAAAAAGATGATGGTGGCATTGAAAGAATTATGACAATACAGAGCTGATACTTTCTATGTTTTTAGTGTTTAATTAGTGTATTGTAGTTATACATAGCACTGGGGTTCATTTTGACATAATCATACATGCATGGAATATAATTGGCTCCACTCTGTCCCCAGTGCTTCCTCTTTCTCTGCCCTCCTCCCTCCTTTATTCCTCTTCTCCTTCTCTACTTGGTCTTCTGGAAGGCAACACATTTTAAGGAAGAATTTTTGTTGTTGTTTTGTTTTGGGATTTTGGAAATTTTTAAAAAATCATTATTTTTTAAATTTTATTTTAGTTATATGTGACATAGAATGTATTTTGATATATCATAAAAAACATGGAGTGTAACTTCCCATTCTTGTGGTTAAACATTATGTGGAGTTACACTGGTCATGTGTTCAAATTTGAACACACCATTGTCTTTCCCATTCCCATGTCCCCTCTCTTCCTTCCATCTCCTTGTCCAATCCAGTGAATTAAGGAATAAATTTTAATTGAAGAACAAAAATTTGATAGAGATCCTTAGATAGTTGTAGAAGATAAATGAATGTGTTGACAGAGATGGAATCAAATTATAGACTGAAAATTTAGCTGTCACTTCATTGAATAGAAAAATGCATACTATTCTCAGAAGCCTATCACCTAAAGCATTATTTACACCTAATTTTAAAATAAATGTCTGAGGCTGAATATGTGATTGCCAT